TTTGGACAATCACTGTGGTTCGCAGGGTTTCCTCAGGTTAGTCGTCCCTGCCTACTGATTTCACTCACTGTCCCGTTTCTCTTTCCCACAAAAAGGGAGAGTAACCCATTCTGTGACTGTGAGCTGGGAAGGGGAGACCAGCAGAGGGTAACTCGCCCCTCATCACGTACAATGAATTCTGTTATCAAGACCATATGAGGAGTTTATGAAAGCAGCAAATATTCCAGAGTGTTAACAATGCTGTGTGCTAATAGAACAAGAAAACATTGCTATGACAGAAGAGGTGGGCATTGATATCTCGAACTTGTTGAATTACGCGAGTCAGGGGGGCGATTGGTGACATTAGTTTTTTTCTGCTTTTCTTTACCTACTCTAATTTCTTCAAACGTACACAGTATGTGCTTATCTTAGGTCAGGTCCCAGGTGTCCGTTTTGCCTTTTGCTTTAAGTTTAGTTTAGGTGAGCTGAGCTTTCGTGCCTTGTGACCAATCCATTGCTGACTTTCCTAATGTTTTGTTCTTATTTCTGCTGTTTCTTTGGCATAATCTTGGCTGAACCGGACATAAGTATCTTTCAGTTTAAAACAATTTTTCAGAACACTATCCTTTTCTCTAGAATCAAAGAACTTCATAATAATGGGTCTCCTCCTATTCGGTTTTGCTTTATCGATACCGTGAATTCTGCCTCTATTGTCCTCATGTAAACACCTAAAGTTCTGTCAAAAATATCTTCAAGGGCCTGTTCTCTCAGTTTGGTTTCTGTTTCGTTATCACTTTTGGCAATTCCAAACACTAAAAGGTTGTTACACCTACTTCTATTTTCATACTCAATTAATTTAGATGCCTGCTGTTGGACAACTGATTTCAATTTCTCAATCTTGTTGTTCACGTCTTCAAAGACGGTCAGAACACCTTGTAAGTGATCAGTTTTAACATTGACAGCGGCAATTTCTTCTCGTATGGTATCCATTTTGCGGTCACTTTCTTCCTGCCTATCAATAATGACCTGTAACATTTCTGTAACCTTCTGACCAGAGTTTGGCCCTGGGTTTTTTTTCTATGTCACTCGACACAAGCAACAACATCAACATTGACCAGCAGTCAGTCAGAATTGCAAAACACTTCTGAAGGTACGGCAGGATCAACAAAGACCTATCATTGCTACAAAAACAAACCAGATTGCCTTATGGACAAACCTTGCCTTATGCCTTATGGACAAAAGCAGTGGTGATTTAACGCACGCTGTCCGTCAAGCAGTCACCGTGCCCTCTGAAGATATCAAAGAAGGGCTGTGCCTTTTGTAGACTGTCCAGAAGAGATGTCACTTCCGCAGGATAGGCATTGTCAAGTTGACGGTCCACCGCATCATTGTCACGCTGAGGCACACCGAAAAATTCCAGTTCGATCCAGTTGTTTTCTGTCGACACAGTGGTGAAAAACCACGGCAGAATCTGCACGAAAAGCAGTGGTGATTTAGGCATGCTGTCCGTCAGGCAGTCGCTCTGCTGTCTCCAGTAAATCCAGCCCTGTGCTTGCATTGGCTACATTATCCCAAGAAACTTGTTGGGATAATGCCGTGAGCAAGCAATGGCTCACAGCAGCTTCTAAAGTTTCAAGTCAACATGGTGGGTTTGTGCGGTCTATGGTAGCTATGAGCCTCTCGGTGTGGTTTACATTTTCCACTGTTGCCCTGCCGCCGTGGTCTAGTGGCTAAGGTACTCGGCTGCTGACCCGCAAGGCGCGGGATCAAATCCCGGCTGCGGCGGCTGCATTTTCGATGGAGGCGGAAATGTGGTAGGCCCCTGTGCTCAGATTTGGGTGCACATTAAAGAACCCCAGGTGGTCGAAATTTCCAGAGCCCTCCACTGCGGTGTCTCTCATAATCATATGGTGGTTTTGGGACGTTAAACCCCACATATCAATCAATCACATTCTCCACTGTTTTTTTTATAGAAAAATTTGTAGGATTCTTGAGCTTCGTCTTAAGAAGCACTGACACAAATATCAAGTATTTTCGAATTGTTCATTCAAATGATGTCAGTGGTGCCAATAATCCTGAAAAAGGTATTGTGGTGCTTGGTAATGCGTGTAATATACTGCTATCTTAGAAAAATTCTTTCAGCATTGAAGGGGCAGTTTCACAGTGCAATTTGACATCAAGGGGAGATGGCAGCAGCTATGCCATGATGTACTGTCATCACATGCCACCATGTGCTGACACAGGATGCAAGCAAGCAACAAGTGAATTGTCGTTACTGATTCCAACAGTGATTTCTCTAATTTAGGCTGCATGCAGGGTTAGCAAACTCAATGGAAGTGTGTTGGTTTGCCCTGATAATGTCCATTGCAGTAGGCCTAGCTTGCATATGCTGGATGACGAAGCAAAATATTTTATACTGAAATACCACGGTTCAGCTAATGCTTTATTCAAGCAACAGCAAGATGGCGCCGATGATGAAGAGGTCAAAGCGAAGACTGATGATGGTTATTGACAGATGAGGAAGATGAAGTCCAATGAATTCTTACAATAATTTTCTCCGTCGACAGACGCGGCCAGCCTGGCCGCGAATCACGCTGTGGAACGCATACGATAGGGCTTGAGACGCGAAACATGCACAATTTATGTCCCGCAGCAGCATTGGTCAGTGGGGGCATGAACAGGTGTGATACGGTAGTTCACCGGTGAGGTCTGTTCGAAAACTTTGTAGGGGCCAAGATAGCGCGACTCAAGCTTCTCCCATAAGCCAGGCGTTCGTGCAGGAGTCCACAGAAGTACATCGTCGCCGGGGCGGTAGAGGACGATGTGATGAGTGGCATCGTAACAATGTTTGCGTTCTTGGCTAGCTTCAGTGTTTACACGGGCAAGATGACGGCATTGAGTAACACGGGACAGAAACTGGTCGCAAATGATTGGTGAAGCGTTGATGGGGCCAGAAAAGAATGAAACGTCGAGTGGTGATGTCGGTTGACGTTGTTAGAAGGAGGTACACTGTAGGCTTGTAATTCCTCACGAATTATGGCTCGAATGATGGATCGCAGCTCCATACTGTTTGCTAGGGGGTTCTCAGTGAAGTAGGGTCACAGGCGGATTGACTGCAAGGTATCAAGTCGCTGGCATAGAGAGACGACGTCGGAAACCGTCGAAGGGTTGTGCGCGGCGAGGGCGTTGAAAGCGGTAGGTCCGATACCCTTCAGAAGGTGCCGGACACGATCAGCTTCGGGCATGGTGTCATCGATACGACGGCAAAGTGCAAGCACATCCTCAATATAAGAAGTGTAGGACTCACCACAATGTTGAACGCGTTCTGCCAGTTTCTTCCGAGCAACTTCTGAACGGACGGTCGGTAGGCCGAAAATGCGTCAGAGCTGGTCTTTAAAGGAAGACCCAATTGCGGAAGTCGCTCTCATGATTCAGGAACCACGTCTTGGCAACTTGAGAGACGTAAAACTGGATGCGTGATAATTTCGATGCCTAGTTCCAGTTGTTGTAGACACCTACGCGGTCATAGTTGTCGAGCCAGTCTTCAACATCTCCAGGCAGACCGGAGAAAATTGGAGGCTCCCGAGGGGGGTTGTTGACCGGGCTGGGGTTGGCGACGGGTGGTTGGGCTTTCTCTTGCTCCATGGTGCTTTGCTGGCGTAAGCGACGTCCCGAACGGAGCTCCAGTAGCTGGCTTTGGATGGAGAGAGGTCGAATAGATCGTGAAGCACCTTCCACCACTTGAAATACCACGGTTTAGCTGATGCTTTATTCAAGCAACAGCAAGATGGCGCCGATGATGAAGAGGCCGAAGTGAAGACTGATGATGGTTATTGACAGATGAGGAAGATGCAGCCCAATGAATTCTTACAATACGTATTATCTGACTCTGGTGTGGAGAGAGTTTTACGCTGCATGCCAACGAAATCAAAAATGTCTCATTTGTAATGCCTCTGCTTATCTGGCTTTGTTCATATTCCCTTCTCATTTGCTTGCCATACTTTGCTTCTCGGTGGACAACTCACACGTGTTGTGGAAAATCTGCTTGCTTGATATTGGTCCTGGTAAACGGTCCTAATGCGCCTGTTGCAGTTACAGCTGCAAAGTAACTGCTAGACTTCTGCAAGGCAATACATGGGCCCACATAGCGGCACACTTTGTTGATGCTGTGTTGGTTGCTTAGCATGATAGGGAATTATGATCACCAAGCCCTTTGTGGTGGTTCGGCAGCTTTTAAACACCCTCTTGTTATGTAGGTTGTTCACATGGCGTAATGCCTAGTGAGATTCCACACTTATGCCACACAATATTACATAATTTAATGCGACTCCTTGTACGACGTGATGTCTGTATGGGGCCTTTTCCGAATCAGTTTTAAGCACTAGGTGGTAGAATACTTGACTGCCATGCAGGGTACATGTCTTCAGTTCTGGTTTGAATCGTGATTTTTATTCGTTGCATCCATCATGATTTTTTGTTCACAGACAATGCCACCAACATTGCATGTTCTTCTACAAGTAATGATATCGCGTTAATAGTGAACCACATTGATGCTTACAATTACAGTAAGGGGACTGACACCACATTTCTCTTTCTATGCATACTCCTTTCTAGTAAGAATTGCTAATTTAACATGAATTTTCCTATGTAAGCGACCGACAACAACAAAAGGGCACTTTGTCTGGCTTGGATTCTTTCTGCTCTCTCCATAATGTATTCTCTTTCTTTGACTGCTTGTGCATATGATGCCCTGTCATTTGTTATGGTTCGGCTACTACTCGAATGTTCAAAGAGGCACCCCAGCCCAGATGATTGGCTCCACAACTAGTCTTGTTCGGGTGCTTGGCAGTATGCTGTGTCTGACTCTTGATGTTGATCTTGAGTGCGCGCCCGTTGGCGCGGGCTTGTGTGCACCTGCCTTTGAGGAGGAAAGGTCATAGGCTTCTCAAGTTGTGCCTGACCGTGTAGTATTCTTCCTGGGACCTACATGGTTAATTACATGATGCAATGTGTGCACACAGAATGGGACACCACAGAAACATCGTGGCTCCCTGCAGAGGTACGGCAACGAGGAGCAAGGGCCTGCTGCTGCATGCTGGTTGCCCTTCATGGCCATGAGCTTGCCCCAGCAGCCCGTAGAGACGACCGTCAATGGCCTCGGCTGCAACCGGCGCAGGTTCTACCTTCTTGCATATTCGCTTGCCTTGGACACAATCTCTACAGCTACACATTGCATAGCAGGGAGAGCAAAATAAGTCAAGTAAAGCACGTCAAAGACCTTTACAGCACCACCTGCACCGGCTGTCTCAGTTTTCTATTCCCGTTGATTTTAGAAAGTTTGCTGGAAAACTGTGCAGTAACATAAGGGTATCGCTAATCAACAGCAGACAAGTTGCTGTCTCATGCCTAGAGGTAATACTAGCGACGTAACTCATTATGTACTGGTGTCATGATAAAAGAGCTTTTTAGGTGGCATAGGAGGTAGGTTAATATTATTTCTCCTACTAGTAAAGCCATTAGCATTCTTTAGAAGGGCCTTGCAACAAGAACTTTAGTTGTTTCATGATTGAGAGTTGAATTCCTCTTTGAGTAAAAGCACAGTTATTGCACAAGGAGACCAATTTCTCTTATTGTTGCTAGGAGCACTACATGCGGAGATCGCAAAGGCACGAGCACATTTTTAAAAATGTTTTTCTAAAAATGCATTTGCTTCAAGTCTGCCCGTGCATGGTGCAGGCATGTAGGGGCACCCAGAGCTTGGTTGGCCATGGCGCATTCGCAGTGCAAAAGTGATTCATAGCAATTATTGGTGAGCACCAGGAGGTGCACTGTGGCCTAACCAAGATAATTGATACTGCAATTAGTTAATGAAACACAAAGCTATGTCTAGCTCGAGAGGCACATAACAATGAGCTGATGTGTGCTGGCTAACATGTAGATGGGTGTTGATTACTGTCATGGCAGGCGTAGTACACGAGTGGGAACTAGCTCAGGCATATAAGTGTGTGGGGTAGCATGTGAGCAGTAGACCAGATGCCGCTTTTTTTCTCCTACATCAATGTAGGGGAAAAAATAGCATTAAGCAGACAACCAAAAGGTGAGTCTGAGAGAACGGGAAATACTCTAGCCTTTCTGAAGTTGCAGCTATGCATAAAGGAGGGAGGAGGCAGCCAACACCGAAGTCCAGAAATTATTATGAGGAGAACTATGTGCACTTTTTTTTTTGTGAACATGCTGCCGAAAGAATTTAGCGAATATGAGCTGTGATAAGGAAGTAGCAAGGGTTAGGACTTCATTTAAAATTCATTTGTAAAGAATCTACGAATTTCTTCAGCCTGTAATTTGGCATAAATGACTTAAATGTTCAAAGGAATGTACCAAGTGAATTTTATTCAGAATAGTTGGCGTCAAACAATTGCTGGAGTTGGCCTTTAAAGAGTAATTATCAAAGGTTATGATTCTTGCCATAACATTGGTGTGGAACAGCTGCTGCTCTGTCCCTACCCTAAAGACAGAGTTGTGGCTATGGTTGCGGGGCATTCGCCATCTTATGATTATCTAGATATTGTGTGAATCGGCCTGTGTTTCAGCTACACATTCCATAATTGATGGAGGGGCAGAGTAATGAGTTATTGCTAAGCCAATCTAATTTGTAGTTTTGGTGTTGTCAGGCTTCTTCGATGTTAATGTTTTTGTGATGGTCTTCTACATGTGCATGAATGTTGCTAACATTCGACTTACTATGGCCGCTGATACAAAGTTTCTAATCTCTGCACTCTCATGCATTGCCATAATCTTTATTCTTTTTGCTGTTTGAGTTTTTTTACTCTGATCATTGTCTGCCTTGTTATGGTGAAACATTTGCTCCACTCCCTCTGTGTACCAACATGATGGTGGACATCAGTGGCAAAAACAGATGCTTGTTTGGATCCTTTTGAAAACATAAAAGGACCGACAGAAAAAGCCCAGAAAATGAAATGAGATAACTCTACCGATAGATTGTTCATTGCATTGTCTCAAACCAAGCCTGTTTTTTTTTTTTTTTTAGTGAGGGCCGGATTTTATTTTTATTTCTTCATTGAAAGTCACGAAAAATGACCTGTGCTTCTGGCTACAAAATTTTTTGATGTACTCGGCCACATGATCCTTGATTGCTGTATGCAGTCAACGATTTTTGTTAGTGCTAAAATATTGTTGGTTTCTTTATATTAAAAGATATCACGCTATAAAAATGTACATATATGCCTGCGTTAGTAGTATGCATTAAAGTGGTGTTACCTTTGTGTGTTGTAATGACTCTGTGCTCTTCAGCACATCTTGAGCAAATTTTCAGCGTGCTCATGCAACCATGCAAGCAGTTTTCAGGTCGCTAAGGCTTTGGAGTGACGTAGTTTTGCTACCTACACTTTGTCTCAGAAATTGCATGCACTGCTATTCGGCACGACTAGGCATATGCGCAGTGATGTTTTCGGTGCCTTGGCCTGGCTTGTGTATCGAGAGAGTAACGACACCGGGACAAGCTACTCTTGACACAGGCGCAGGCAACCTTGGGTACAGGCACACACAATGCGGCACAAATACAGGGAAGGTATGTAAAGCCACATCATCTCATTTTAAGGAATTGTTATTTTTAAAAATAGTTGAAAAACTCAAAGGTGGTTAAGCATTGTTACAGGAACTCCTGGGAAATCAGGACGACAGTTTTCACAAATCGTGAGGAGGGTTGACGGCATTGCAATGAATTCTCAACGTTGCCAGAGATGTATATCTGGGTTCAAAACCTTTCAGATAAAAAAAATAGAAAAATACTGCTTCTAAAGTAACTACGTGCATTTCGGATTAACTTCTGCAGCTAGAAACACTATAAAAAGTGAGCTTTCTGCCTCCCAATAAAAAAAAAAAAGGAAGAAAAAAATTGGTTGTCGGTTCCTTTAAACTGCCCTAGGGACGAGATACCAGACTAGAAGCACACAGGATGCTTCTATTCTGGTGTCGCGTTTCTAGCGCAGTTTAAGTTTACAAGATGTGTCTTACCAGCTGGTACCCAACACACGCTTCTTGAGTTATTTGCATTTCTTGACATTGTGGTAGGAAGCTGTGGGCTACAGAATGTGAATTGTGGTAATAAACTGTTGGGTGCAGGTTCCTCTGCCGGGAGTGGGCATTTGCCAAGCTGGTCCACTGCCTCGACCAGCGGCCGGCATCCAAAACATGCGGTGCGCTTGTGGTTGGTGGGCCGGGCTGTGGCAAGACGGCCTTTTTCCAGGAGATTGCGCAGCCCACGGTGACCGACCCCGAGGCACACCAGCATGCTCTCAGCAGGCGCCTGCTGGCTCACCACTTCTGCCAGGCGCACGACACGCGCACCCTGGCTGTGGCCTCGTTTGTGCCGAGCCTGGTACGCCAGCTGTGCCGGTGCGAGCAGGCAGGCCTTCTGAGTGGCTACCAGGACCGACTGCGTGATGCTGAAGCTTTCCTTGAGCCCGTGGCATGTGCACGATGGCCTGACGAGGCATTCAAAAAGGCTGTATTGTTTCCGCTGCTTGAGATAGAGCCACCTGAGCAGCCCTGTTTGTTGCTCGTGGACTCGGTGGACGAGTCTTTCCTTGTCCAGGTATGCACCTCGATGGGAGGCTCTACATGTTGGGGGTTTCAGTGGATGGCAGCTTCTGTCAAGCATTAAAGGGACACTAAAAGCAACTATTAAGTTGACGTTCATTGTTCAAATAGTGGTCCAGAAACCTTGTAATGTTACATTTTTGCCAAGGAAGAGCCTATTTTGAAACAAAATTACGTGTTAGTGGTCCGCATCGGGTTATCACACTTCAAATTACCCGCCTGAAGAAGCGAACTGACCAGATCGATTCACGTCTTCGTTGCGGTGCACAACATTGCATGGCTTCACTGCGCTAGTAGCAGCAGGCTGAAATCAGTGGGAGCCACAGCAGCAACAATGGCCATTGATCGATTTCCCGCCATTGGCTTCGAAATTGCAGACGTTGTTTGGTTCAACTGTGCCTCACTAGATGGCACCACCTGTCCCGTGTAACCAATTGATAATTGAATTTTTAAACCACTCGCGCCATTCCCCATAGTACCATCCGGCAGTTCTTTTTTCCATGAATTAAACAGAAACGAACAAGCAGCATTTTATTGCATCACTTGATGTACGGAAGGTTTTTTACTTAGTGCAATTAGATAGATTACTAGTGATTAATTGTAGGCGGTCCATCTGATGTCATCGGGATCATTTTGAAAATGTCCTACTGCGGCGCTTGTGTTTTTGTGCATTTAATTTAATTTCTCGACAAGTAGGATACTGTTGTTAATAATATTGTCGTTTTAGATGTTGTCATACATTAAACTTTCACTCTGATGTAAATTGTTATTTGACTTTTGTGGTTCCTTTAAGTGGAAGTTGCTTTGACAGTAGCTTCCACGAAGGTGTGACTGTTAAATGATCTACCGTTTCACTTGATTTATTTTGTTTGTACAGTGTAGTAATAGTTGTGGGTCATTTTCGTCATCTTTCTTTGCAGATGAACACCTCTGGTGCGATGGGCTGTCATCGGCACCACTCCCACCATCAGGATGGAGGTGAACGTAGGCACCACTGTTTGCCTGACGGTGGCAGAGGCAGCCGCACCATTGCAGAGTTGCTGGCTGCCCACCAGCAGCTGTTCCCACAGTGGCTCCTGCTGGTCTGCTCGGCACGCCGACAGAGCAAAACCATCACACGCATGTTTACAGGCTTCAGAAAGGTGTGTGCTACAAAGAAAGGGCCGTTGCGCTCTTCAGAGGCTGTGCGCAACAAAATATAGTCATAATGTCTTGAGCAATTGGTTGATGGCTATTGAAAGTATTAGATTACCGAATCAGGTTCTGTTGAGTGCAGTCATTCCGCAGAAGAGGTAGTGGAGTGCAAATGGCTGCTGTGTTGCAGTGGTACATGTCTTAAGGGGTACTGACACTTTTGTTGTCATTTTTCTGTGTCATATAAAAGGCCAAGCCTTCAAAAGCCTAAAAAAGGTACTGCTAACCATGAGTGCACCCTAAAAAAGTAACTACAATATGTTTTTAAAAGCTACTCTTGCTTCCTCCTGTACCCTGGCGTCACAGCACAATATGAGTGTCTCGTCACGTGCTCGTGCAAGATGTCGTCACGTTTTCGGAGCAGTGTCACACCATGCTCCGGTTATTTTGAATGTTTTGAACTGGGTGATGCATGAACAGCCATTTTGGAAGTTCGGTACCTGACAAACTAGTGAAAGTGCAGTGTAAAGTTCCTATACTGTAGCCTGACGTCAAGCTAGTGCCAATGGCGGGAGGTGCACCTTGTGAAAAATGACTTAAACATAAAAAATAAAATATCTTATCAGCATTTGGTGAGTATCAAGCTTGCTCATAGCCATCTTTACGTACAGGTGACTTGTATGGCAGAGCACACTCACCTCCGAAATATCGTGTTAGAACTCCTTTCAGGAGAAGCCTTCCCTTTTGACTTGATCTAGCAAAAATAATGGCACATAATTCCTTGACCGTCAGATAGTAGACATATGTAGTAGCTTTTCTTTTCTAGGTGAATTGGCACAGAGGAGCATATATGTGTATTATTTTAAATATAAAGTGAATTGATTTTGTGACCCAGGATGATGTTTTTTTTTTTTAGCATTTACCGTATTCACTCGCATAATCCTTGCACTTTTTTTGGCGGGAAACCGATGCAAAGTTGGGGTGTGTGAGAATTATGTGAGAAAAAGTTTCCGCAAAAACATGCAGACCGAAAAAGAAAACTTAAGTGGCCGCGAATGGGGATTCTCATGCCAGAAACGAACTGCAAGCTTTCAGAAGCCCTAATTTAGACTTACCTCAATAATAAAAGCATAGGTTCAGCACAAGGAAAGATTTATTTGAGTCAAAAAAGGTGCAAGCAAATAGTCGAAAATTAGAGTAGCGTACGCAAAGCTTGTGGGCGTTGCGGGCAAGCGGCAGCATTCTTCACTCAACAGGAGCCCGCAAAAGGTTAGCATACCACGCCAGTATTAAGCTGATGTTCATTTAACTGAATCTTCCGCAGTTGTGTTCTGGCAAAATAAAGTTTACCATCCATCCCAGCCTTAAGCACACGGAAGTCCCAACACGTCTTGGTGGCTTTCAGCTGCTGTCACCATTAGCGAACACAAAACTCGTCGACTCCGAAGGGCCTACCGACAGCCATGTTGCCGTTTTTATGGCATGATCAATCACTTTCAAATTGGAAGCAGTCGTGTCTCTTCTGTAACGCCCCATAACATTACAACATCGCGGACACAACGTACAAAACACGCTGCAATGCACACTTGCCACTTTGTCTTGGCTTGGATTGGATCTCGGTGCAATAATAGTACACTTTATGCTTAGGAGAGGGGGCCACATGGTGGACGCTATCATCATCAGTGGCTCGAACGAGCAGACAACATTATTTTTTGGGGCTGCGATAATTACTCATGAAAAAAAAAAAAGAAATATTTTTGCTGGTCAATGTGGGGGGTGCGAGAATTATGCGAATGCAAGGATTACGCGAGTAGATACGGTATGTACTATCAGCGTCAAATGAAAGCTGAACAGCGAAGCACGTGCCACCAGTACTGTTAACATCATAGTGTGCGCCGTCCTGCCATCACCACTGGCAGGCAAGCACATCCAGTGTGGCAGCACTGCGCGATCCCTATATAGTGCATTATCTTCACTTATGTTCCAATTTTCGTATGGTGATAGAGTAGACCAGCGTGAACGTACCAAGCACTTTTCGTTGTATCCCTCGCAGTTCTTCGCTTTTACTCCAGCGCTACATTGAAATCAGCGTCAGGGCACGATAAAAAGGAAAGATAAATCTAATCGCTTTGCGGTTGACTTTGTCTTTGGAGATCCAGTTGCATAACTGAAAATGTCGAGTGTTTCCTTTGAAGAGATATCCCGCATTGTTTCTCTTTACCGGCACGACGTGACCCAGTGTCAATTGCCGCCATTACGAATCGTCCTTTGGTACTGTCAATACAATTTGCCAGACATTCTGGGAAGAAGGACTTCTGTGCAACCTTCCCCGTGGACACAGGTGACAGACAGTGCGAAGGACTTGCTTTCAAACAAGCAGCAAAAGAGGCACATGACTCTAGAGATCAAAGGCAACCTAAACCTGTCTGCCAGCACGCCAGCAATCGGACGCCGACAGCGCCACAATGCTGAAGCGGAACACCGCAACTAAACCAACCACAAGCGATTGGCACACCCATGCTGGCAATCGTAGCACCTGTGAGCAATTTACTGGGATGCTCAGGTTTTCCAATCAAATGCATGAAAATTGCTGAATTTTCGTGTCTGTTTTCTGATTTTTTTCCTTTAAAAAATCAGAACGGCAACACAGGAAACAAAAAAAAAATCTCACTTCAGTGGGGTGGCACTGTGCTACCAACCCGGATGTGTGGGCCTCTCTGCGCTGATGACTGGACGGTGCACACTATGCTGTTTCTATTGCTTGTGGCATGTGCCCCGCTGTTGTTTCCTACCACATGCAATATTTACTTCTTTTCACTTGTATTGCACTGCACTTGATGTGTAAAGTTATGTGCATTGTTAGCTTCACTTGAATTTGGATTGATATTTGCACCTTGTGGGGTTGCTATAATTTGCAGTAAGGTCGTTTGTGCCTTGTGGCGCCCATGCATCTCGTGGATAGGCCCCATTTCAGTTTAACAACCACCGAGCGGTAGGTGGGGCAGTCGTCACACCAGGGGCTTTGACCACAGCAGTGATATTGATGAAGCCACCTAGCGAGGGTGTCTGCAGGTAGACACCAGATATTCCATCGTCAGGTGTGCACGGCATGAATAAATTACTTTTTCTGTAGGTGGATAGAAAATTCAACAGAAATTTGACCCTCCAATTTAAAGGCCGCACCCCATTAAAATTGCGGGAAAGAATGTGTGGCCCTTACACGATTGCTTATGGTAACCCATACCATCATCGATTTTACAAAAGTTTTATATGATGACAATTTTTTCAAGGACTGACAGGGCCCTTGCCAATTGCCCTGAAAACGCATTTTGATTGCCACTTCCTTGGCTGGATCAGAATTATCCATGCATGTTTCCACAATGCTGGCATCTTGGCTTGTCCCATTGTTGGTTAACAAAGGTTCTCAGCGCAGCGGTGGGCTTGTTGCTGACGGCCATGGTGCTTGCCGCCGCGTTACGGATGGTGGCTGTGATGGCAGCTTTCATTTCGTTATAAGTTACAGTTGGTCTTTTGTTGCATTTTTGGTGTGGCTGGGATCATCATAGCACTTGGTCTTAATTGCTCATTTGTTTTGGATTTCGATTCTTATTGTACTAAAAAGTAGCTAGTTCATATTGAAAAAATATCTTCACCACATACTTTTAGTCGGTGACAACCTAAGAATAAATATAAGCTCCACCCACAAGGCCACATTACCCTTATTTTCCATGCCTTCGTGCTACAAAGGAAGGAGTTCCCATACAATGGCAATAACATTTACGCATACAACCATTCTTTAGTCATACTTACATTGATATTGAAATAAGGAAACCAAATTTCGATAAGAGAACTTGAGAAGGCACAGAATTCCACGTTAGTTTAGCGATATATCTGTTGTTTATATAGCGATATATCTGTTTTTTATATCGCAATCTCCACCACACTCATCTCGGAGTCCACGGAAAGGATTGTACATCTCTCGAAGGCGACGTTTCTGCGCGGTACTTATGATGGTATTAAAACAAACCAAGCCACATTTGACGTAATGCTTTAAAATAAGAAATCATTCTTTTGCAGCTTCACAAAATGAAACAAGGGCATTATTCCCATTTCATAAAGTCTGTAATTTTTTGTTGTTTTACTAAACTTTCGCTGCCACGTTTATTCACTGTTTGCTGTAACTATGGCAACTATGACTCAAAGCAAGCGAATAGTGAAGAAGTTATCCGAGGTTGTCTTCGAGAATTCCGATTCTTGTGTTGTCGTAAATACCAAGTGTGCGTCTCGCATTGCCGTGCTTTTCATCATGTTTGAGGTAAACGCCAAAGTTTTATTCAACATCTTGTTTCGTCAAAAAATAAAAGCACGTAGCGCACATTTTATTTAACAGTGGGTGTCATTGCATACATTATCGTTAAGTTAATGCTAAGGCGATGTATGTGGGTAAAGTGGCGATTACTAAAAGCTGCAGGTGAATTTTTTTTTTGCTTCAACAACTTGCACTCCATGAGGTAGCCATGGAGTGCAAGGTAGCCATGGGGTAGCCATGGAGTCAGCCCTTGATTAGTCAACTTTTTCAAAGTGGGACCGAGTTTTGCTGGAACAGGGGCTACTATACAGTCTATGAATGTGTCTGTGCCAAGGTGCGTCTGAGCAGGTACGAGGGTTTTTTCTCTCCAGTGAATGCGACTGCATTGCGTGCCAGACTTTGCTTTCACAGGGGAGTGCACTGCATCCTTTACTTTTTCTTTCACGGGACTCTAATTTATTATAAACGATGATTGATATGTGGGGCTTAACGTCCCAAAACCACATATGATTATGAGAGACGCCGTAGTAGAGGGCTCCGCAAATTTCAACCATCTTGGGTTCTTTAACATGTACCCTAATCTGAGCACATGGGCCTACAGCATTTTTGCCTACATCGAAAATGCAGCTGCCGCAGTCGTGAATCGATCCCGCGATCTGTGGGTCAGCAGCCAATACCTTAGCCACCACGCCACCACGG